TTTTTTGGTTATGGCCTATTTTTCTTCTTTATTTTTTGGTTGTGTTGATATGGGAAAGTTTGATTATAACTATAACAATAATTATGCCCCAATCTCAAACAAATTAAATAACAAATAACTTCAATCTAGGCAAATTAAAGTCTGATATATGGATTCTTACTGTTCATTTTCTTTATTTACTTCTGTCCCTTCTCACAATTTTAAAATAGGAAGAAGTTTAGCAAAGAGATGCTAGTTGAGCTATATGTCATAGGATCATAGCTCATAGTGTTTGAAGAGAATACCCGGCGAAGATAAATTTTTATATTGATAGTTTGGAATGAGAAACATAAGGTTAAAAAGTCGTTGCTCCTTTCGCTAATGAGTAAATAAAAAAAAGTTATGAAAGAAAATTAATTATATCAGTAAAGACTAAAAAAATTATGTTCCTTTTAAAAACATATACTAATCGTATGTGCAGCGGCTGGTCTAGTTACTTACAGTGGGGTTTTAATTTTTTTCCTTTTCTCTACCGAGGGTGAGGGTGAGAAATGTAGAGGAAGTTGAAATAGAAGAAAACACATTAATAATAATGGTCCTCTAACTTTTCCAAGTTGAACAAAGTGGGCACTGTTCTCAACCTGTCATAATAACGAAACAAAATTTACCTACCAAAAGAAATTATGTTATTCCTAAAAAAGAATATAGACTTCAGTATAAGAGGAAATTGGATTAACTAAATCAAGTCTTTCACCGTTACGAAATGTAGCTCTATTCACAATTCACATACAAATATACAACCTTGGAAGAGTCAAAGTCAATGCCTTTTTAGCACAAATCATATCTCTTATAAGGTGGTGAGGGGCTGGGGGCAGCAATCTAATCGAGTCCAGAATACTTATCTTGGCTTGATTTGATTTTTGTATAATCAAGTAAATTGATATTGAGCTTGACCTCAATTTGGTAGCAAATTATTTGCTCGAGCTAATGTCATAGAAAATTCTTATGAGTATTCTCTCCTTTTTAGACGAAGCAACCAAAGAGGATAAGTCGTTTGTATAATATATAGAACATGTAATAAGTAAGACTATAATGATTTAATCTTAAAAATGCTCTTCTCTCTCGGCGCAAGATAGTGTGTTACTAACGTGCACAGCTGCCAGAAATGGCGAGAGGATGGCCGGCGAGGAACGCAACTAAGACTGCTATGATAGCTAGTAACATAGGGGAAGCCACAGGTCGGAATATGGGTACCAAATCACCGGAAGTTGGGAACATTTCAATGGAACAGTGGCTGATTCTGAGCAGAGAGGCGATGCCTATCACACCGAATCAGCCAGTCAATCACGCTTCTTCAACTAAGGGGGAATATGAAAATGGAGGCAATTCAGCTAGAACAAGCCCTAGGGCTATTGAGATCAGTGAAATCCCTAAGATCACACCCAAGGGTATGGGTGAGGGGGAAAAAGTGCAAAGCAATACTGCTGGTGCTGCTGATAAATTGAAAAATGCAAGCCCTAAAAATAGTAAAAATGAGCTAGTAATTGGGGATACTGTTAATCAACAGCAAAATCAGAACAATATAGAGGTGACAGGACAGAAGAAGTGGACAAATTTATTCACTGGGAACAGACTAGCAGCAAAGGGAATGCCCTTGAGCTTCATAGCACCAACAATTAGGAATGGAGAGACAATAGTTCAACTCTGCAAAGAGGAAATAGAACAAGAGACTCAAAAATGGAGACAAGCTATAATCTGGGTGAATCCCCTACTATTGCATCTATGGAAAAGTTCATCACTTCACAATGGAATTTTGCAGCAAAGCCTAAGGTATATTTCCATAGCGATGGGTACTTCATTGTCAAATTTCATAGTATAGATGATAAGGATGAGGTTCTGTTACTCTAGCCCTCACATGATGAACAATAAGCATATTATAGTGAAAGTTTGGACTGCTGATTTTGACTTTAACAAAGAGGTCCTCCAAACTGTTCCAGTATGAGTGAAGTTCCCAAACCTACCTTTGAATTGTTGGGGAGCCAAATCATTAAGCAGAATTAGTAGTAGGTTGGGTGTGTCAATATATGCAGATGAATATACATCACAAGTTGATAGAATTTCATATGCAAGAGTTCTAGTTGAGGTTGATGTTATAAGAGAGCTGCCAAAGTCCATAAAGGTTGCTGATCCAAATGGAAGAGAATTCACGCAGGCAGTCGTTTATGATTGGATACCAATATTTTTCTCTAAATGCATTCAAATAGGGCATAAATGCACTAGTGATGAACATCAAGTACCAAAGCCTAGACCAAAGAGTCAGGAGCATAAGCAAGAATGATAACAAAAGACAATAGTTATTGGGAAAGAAGTGCAACTAGCTAGAACCAATGAAGAAAAAGGGATGGAGAAAGCCAATGATCCTCAAGCTACGAAATCAAGGGAATTAGCAGATAGACAAGGTGATGAATGGCACAGAGTTAAAGGAAAATCAGCTGCTGAAGAATCCCAAAAAGGCGTACAAGATATACACATGCCCAGTACAGCCAATGGTTTTACCTTACTGAATGAAGCAAAATCAGATTTGGCAAATCCAAGTGCAGCAGCAGGAAGGGGACAATGTAGTTATGTAGTGGAAGTACGTCTCTCAAACACTCTTTATACGAGTATGAAGTTAGTTACTTGGAATGTTCGGGGCCTAAACAAAGTCTATAAGCAAAAAGAGATGTAGTTGTTTATTAAGAAGAATAAAGTAAGTCTAATGGCTATCTTAGAGCATAAAGTAAAAAGTGCAATATAGTGCAGATTATAAATAAAATAGCTCCTGGCTGGTGCTGGAAAGCCAACTACATACATAGTAATAGAGGTAAAATTCTATTACTATGGGAAGATAAAGATATCGACTGCAATCTATTGTGAATGTCTAGTCAATGCATACATACCTTAGTTGCTATCAAATCTCTGAATATAAGATTTACTCTCACAGCTGTGTATGGGCTTCATACAGTGGATGAAAGGAGGTCATTTTGGAGTGAGTTGAGAAGCTGGCACAGTGGTATCCATGATCCATGGATATCTATAGAAGATTATAATGCAATAAGCAATGTAACTGATAGAGAAATTAGTAGTCCTGTTCAAGATTGGGAGATCAGAAACTTCAATAACTTCAACTTATGAAAGCAGTCTGGATCAAACTCAAAAAGGTAAAGCATGCAATGTAGGTTTTGAATAAAATTGAATATAATGGAGTGAGAGATAGGGTAAAAATATGCAGGCAGCAGCTCTTTGAACTACAAAAACAAATGGGAGAACCAGGCAACCGAGAATATGATTGCAGCAGAAAAGGAGATAAAACTACAGTTGGAAAAATGGGTGAACATTGAAGAAAGCATATTGAAACAGAAATCTCGAGTTCAATGGCTAAAGCTGGGGATACTAATTCTGCTTAATATTTTGCAAGCTTGAAGCAAAGAAATGCCCAAAAGAAGATAAAGAGCCTCATTAGTAGTAATGGGGAGGTTCTACAAACAGATGAGGACATTGAAGGAGAGGTAATTGGATTCTATAAGCAATTATTAGGCTCAACTTCAGAAATACTACCTGCAATCAATCCAATTATCACGAGGGATGGTTCAGTATTGACTAGAGATCAACAGCTGCAACTGATTGCCCCTATAACAAATGGGGAAATATAGGTTTAAAAGATATTATTGATCATAAAGCACCTGGATGTGATGGGTTTAATGCCATATTCTTTAAAAAAAGCTTGGACTGTCATAGGAACTGAAGTTACTGATGCAGTCCAGGAATTCTTCTCCAAAACAACTTTGTACCAAGCTATAAATTGCACTACTGTCACCCTTATCCCAAAAGTGGCTAATCCTTAAAAGATCAGATAGTACAGACCAATCTCTTGCTATACATTGCTATACAAAATCATCTCAAAGGTACTTACTAAGAGGCTGCAAAAAGTTATGGACTGGATAATGGATAAAATCAGTCTGTATTTGTTCTTGGTAGATTGATTAATGACAACATTATCTTAAGCCATAAATTGGTCAAAGGATATGGTAGGAAGGGAGTGTCACCAAGATGCATGCTAAAAATAGACATGAAAAAAGCTTATGACTCACTAGAATGGGATTACCTGGAACAGATTTTAGTATGCCTACAATTTCCAGCTAAATTTGTAGAGTGGATCATGAGATGTATCAGGACTATGTCATATTCCATAATAATCAATGGACATCCAAATGCTCCTTTTCCAGCTAAGAAAGGATTGAGACAAGGAGAACCCCTCTCACCTTTCTTATTTGTTCTGGCAATGGAATACCTTACAAGGCTCTTGAAGCAGCTAAGAAAGAACCCCGACTTCAACTATCACCCAAAATTCTCTAAGATGTACATTGTAAAATTAAGCTTTGCTGACGACCTTCTTTTGTTTTGTAGAGGAGACACAATCTCAGTACATATGTTATATGCTCATTTTCAGGAGTTTTCTCGAGAATCTGGTCTGGTGGCTAATGCAGAAAAAAGTTCTATATATTTTGAAAGTGTAAGTAGTTAAACTCAGCAACAGATACTACACTTGCTAAGCTTCTCGCAAGGCTCACTTCCTATCAAATACTTAGGGGTACCCCTTAGCACTAAATGAGTATCAATAGCACAATGTAAACCTCTGATTGATAAGATGCTAGGGAGGATCCAATCATGGACTACAAGGTTCCTATCGTATGCTGGGAGAGTCCAATTGATCAAGAGTATTATGTTCTCCATCCAAGTCTACTGGTCTCAGATCTTTGCACTACCAAAGAAGATCACCCAGCTGATTGAATCTGTATGCAGAAAATTTTTGTGGACATGAGGTGTAGAGCTATCAAAAAAGGCATTGATTGCATGGGATAAACTATGCTTTCCTAGATCAGCAGGAGGTCTTAACATTCTTGATGTGATCAATAGAACACGACAGCTATATGTAAACCCTTGTGGAACTTATGTAAGAAGAAATACAAGATGTGGATACAATGGGTTCAAATCTATATGGGAAACAAGGCACAATGTGGGGAGCTCAACCAAAGCAGGCCTCTTGGATAGTACAAAAGATACTGAAGGCAGAAAAATACTTTAAGGCACTCGGCTGGACTGAGGAAGAGGTACAAAGAATTGAGAAGTTTTCCATTAAAGACATATACTTGAAGTTAAGGGGTGACTTTCAGAAGATCAACTGGAGAAGGTTAGTATGTAACAATGCTGCCCCTCAAAAGTGAATTTTCAGTATGTATCTGGCAGCTTGGGGTAGACTGCTTACAAAGGAGAGGCTAGCAAAGTGGGGATGCTTAGAAGATATGAGCTGCTCTTTATGCGATGCTACAATAGAGAACACTAATCATTTGTTCTTTAATTGTACCTTTTCTGCGCAAGTATGGAGAGCACTGTTACAATGGCAAGGCATACGAAGATTACCTATGAGCTGGCAACAGGAGATAGAATGGGCAATCACACACTATAGGGAAAAGAATGCAACAGCTAAAGTCTACAAAATGAGCTTAGCAGGATCCATATATCACATATGGCAGGAGAGAAACCTGAGAATCTTTCAAGCTAAGAGTAGAAATGCAGCAGTGTTGATCAGAGCTATTGTTCAAGAAATACACTGTAGAGGAGAACTGAAGCAGAAGCTAGCGAGACGTTTGTAAAAGTTAGATCACTACCCGTATGTTTAACCGATGTATGCTAGTATTAGAGCTATACCCCGGTAGTTAAGGTAGGATAGTGAAGTCGATACACCTGGGATTGTATGTCCAGCGTGTATTTGCTATATCTTTCTTCTGTTTTGTAAATATTATTTGGTAAATAAAATCTTTGCTTACAAAAAAAAATGATTTAATCTTGGTTATTACAACTTCATATTACTGTTTCAATTTACTTGTTTTTGCTCTATAATCATAATTACTAGATTTCAAGTTCATCATCATATATGTTCAGCTACGTGAATTATTTTTAGTGCGATGACAATGAATAACGTTAATAGATCTATCCACACATATTTTACTATTTTTAAATTCTTCTTTAAACACTCATCTAGTTTAATATTTATTTACTTTGCATTCTATATTCTTTTACATAACGATCTAGTATTATATATTAATAGCAAAACATTTTAAATGATGTATCTAGTGATGATATAATAATGCATACCACACCTTCAAAAAGTTATAAAAATAGTGTTCCTTACTCGATCTACTATCTTTAACATAAGTATCAGTGTTTTTATTTTTACAGTGAGAATATCATAACATTTATTATTTTGATAAATTTGTTATTTTTATGTGATGACGCTCATACGATATAACTCTTGCCTAAGCTATTGATTGATCCGAATGTATTAGAGGAGTTAAATAATTTTTGACAAATATATCCTCCCATTAGGGTACTTCCATAGAGGAGAGACTTCCAATATTACTGCCACCATATCAACAGGGCCAGCCTAATGGTCAAGCAAGTAAAGCAGTTGCCTAGGGCCCTTATTTGTAAGGGCCCAAAATTTTCTGATTTTTAATGTATTTGTCTATTCATTTTAATAATATCAAGTATTTGAAAAGAAAAAAAAATATTAAGTTTCAAGGAAAGGACGTTGGAGAACAATCGGTAATGGAATCTATTTTGGGAATTCAAGCCCCACGCGTGAACAACTGAACATCCCACTATGTTGTATCATTTGTCTACCATTATTATTATAAATGGGTCCATATTCTTTATCTTTTTTTATCTTTCTCTCTACAAAGCTTTTCTAGACTTTATATTCTAAAATTCCAATCTCATTCTGTTACTACCTCAAAATAAAATACCAGAACACAACTATACTGTGATGACCCAAAATATTATCTTTAAATTTAATAATTAATTATGTGTTCTAAGACCTCAAAAAGTACTATTTATTATTCCTCGACTTGCGTGCACAGTCCGTAAAATTTTGCGAAAAGTTTTCAGATGAAAAATGGATTAAAATGTGAATTAGATGTTTAAAAGACAACTGAGTTGACTTTGGTCAATACAATATATTGAGCAAACAGACTCGGATCAGTGTTTTGACAGTTCTGGTAGGTCCGTATCGTGAATTGAGACTTACGCGTATGCCCGGAATTAAATTCCGAGGTCCCTAGCCCGAGATATGGAATTTTGATGAAAAATTTAAAGTTTAAGTTCAAATAGTGACCGGATATCGAATTATGTGCAAATGACCCCGAAATAGAATTTTTATGATTCCAACAGCTCCGTATGGTGATTTTGGACTTAGAAGCGTAATCGAAATTTTATTTGGAAGTCCGTAGTGGAATTAGGCTTGAAATGCCGAAAGTTGAATTTTT